TTGGTATCGTGACAACACTACTTCAAACATCAGTTACTGCAATCAAGTTCAAGAGAACCGTTTGCATCACAACACAACAAACTGTGTGTTTGTGCGTGTCTTACCGCATTTCCTTCAGCCCCTTGGTCTGGATGACATGGAGGATTTGTTTGGGAGTCATGGGTGCATCAGAGAAGTTCTCCAAAACCTAGAAAACATCCACATAGTTCTTAACCACACAGACGAACACTTGTGCACTGTTAAAAAAATCCCCGAATACAATGCAAATCAAGATCAATCTAGACTCAACAGCTGCAAAGGTTCATCATTTCACATGATCAACTGGAGATGTTCCGATACCATTTTTTACTTCCCAATACAGATTCTGATACCTGAACTTTGCAAGTAGATACCCATTACAATTTTGATATACGTACATACATATATATGCCATACCAGTGTTGTATGGCCTGCCTCAGGGTAAACCCTTTGTCAGAGTTAGAGTAGGGCAGGTCAAAACTGATGGTGAATGGGTCCCAATTCTGGCTAATAAATAACGTAGTGTTGGATCAGTTTTTGCATTGTTTACAATTGTTGTTCCATCATTAATTATTTATTAATTATTTATGACTAATGAAAGCAAAGAAAGGCACAGCTCTGCAGCAAGCTGCACCTTCATACTGGAGACATACAAAGTCCTCACGGCAGAGTTCACCAAAAACTAATGTAATGTTGTAGTAAATTGTTTGCAACTTTACTTGTAATGTTTTGCTTTTTCAAATAAAGAGAAAAAATAAATACATCCCATATTGGCCAAAATACAATTGTCAAAAGCTTCACACTAAAAAGGAAAGTGTGATATTTAAGTATAAAGTTACATCTACTGAAACAACTATATTTATAGATATATATAAAGAACTACAAGTACTAGTGAAAGACACACATACTACACGCACTTTTATTCAAGTAAATGGGAAAATGTGTCCAAACTTTTGACTGGCACTTTTGACTGTTTTTTATGACCCCCCTACCTTGACATTTTTATTGAACAATATTGGCCAGTGTCAAGCTAACTGACAAACACTTTGCACTTCCTGTGACTAGCTTTTTTCCAGGGATAAAAGTATCCAGGCTGCAGCTGCAGCGTGTGCATGCAACGACAGGACAGCGAAACCAGAAAATCTGGATCACCAGTGGAGACTGGCTGTTAGTTTAGGAAGTGCTTGATTTGATAGGCAATCACGTTCATTTAATTGTGGGAACCCTAACTTGTGATCACGATTGTTATTCAATTAATTGTGCAGTCCCTCTATCCAGTCCATGCAAGCAACAGGAAGTGCTCGGTTAGATTTGTTTTCTCTTTTCTTTTACTCCACACCGAGAGGGGAACATGGCAAAAATTTCCTTGAAAACGTACTGTATGCTTTATCAAGTCTTCAAATTATCGGCCGATCTGTCCAAATATTTATCATGCATCCCTAATTACAATAACTAGAGTTTGGAGCAGGAAGAAGCAGATAGCCATTAGATTACATTACCTTGACTTTGTGTATAGAACCTTCATGCAAAATGTGATTTATGTCCCTGCGTGACTAGTGGAGGCTGTACTGTCATCGACTACTATCAGAGCCTAGATCACCACTGATTGATCAGCCAAACTTTAGTAGAGCTTGAGTACGTCTCTGACATATGAATGTTTCAGACTTGCTAATGTTCTGAACTCTACACTTATTAGGTACATCTGTAAAATCGAATTGAATCCAATACAACAGCTCGGCCATTAATCGGACCATTATGAAGACAATGTGCTGTTTGAACTCCTGTTTTCAGGAGAATGGAAATGCTCACTTCTCTTGAGCTCATAGACTTTGTCTTTACCCACCGCCATTTTCTCACGAGTGTCGGATTGGTGCATTGAATGTGCAACTCTCAACAGAGATGGAAGAAAGCGAGATGACTCACTACTTAGCTACTTCTATCATCAGCTCTGGAAAAAATTGTGTGTTTAATTCTATTTTACCACTTAAGTGAGGTGCTAGATTTACTAGCTTGACATGGCATTTTACTTGCACTTGCAGCTGTAAGTGCACTATGCGAAATATGAACATGGCAACCTGCAGTTAGTATAAAATACAGTCTGGGCTATACATATACATATACACACACATATACATATATATATATATATATATATATATATATATATCTCAATCATAGACACCAATA